ATTAAAAGAAAAGAGGGGAATATGGTTGCCTTCTCGACAAAGCTTCTAGGAGTGGACCAAAAAGAGAAAACCTGATTAGCCTTTTGAGTATATACAAATTGCTGAAGAGGATAGCCATAATTTAGTTAGAATATTCGAGCAAGAAGAAATATTAAATGTTAGGTAAAATTAATAATTTGATCTTTACTTTTTTATTTTTGCTTCAATTATTTAATTATTTTTAGTTTTATTTCAGTTCTTTATTTTTTATTATTTTTATTTGTTAATTATAGCAGTTTTTTACTAAAAAAAATTGTTATAATTTCATACTTTCAAATTTAACAAATAGGACTAAATTTAAATAAAAATATATAAAAATTTAAAATAAAAAAAAATATAGGATTTAACTTTAGGAAGTTTAGGAAAACATTAAAACATTCATATAAAAAAGACTGGGCATGTATTTACAGCTATCAGAAAGACTTGAGGAGCTAATAAACTTTGAAGAACTAAGCTAATATGAATTTCATATTAAAACATAATTTTTTATCATCAAATACTGAGAATTAAGTATAATTAAGCTAAGAACCGGGTAATTAAGCATTATCTTGATAACATTTTTGACTTTATGATGCAAGCTTGTCAGATTGGGTAGCTATAAAAGAAATAAATAGCGTCAATAAATTTTTACAAACTAAGAGAAACACCGTTTAGAGCTAGCAAAATAGACTTGTTTAATTAAATTGGTTTAAATTTGTCTAATAAAATGTAGAATTAAAATTTTAAAATTTGAGTTTAAATTATAAATTTAAATTTTTTTAATCTGATCTAATTAACTCTAACGCAATTTAAGTTTGAAAAATGTTTTTTCAAAAAATTATTCTGTGAGATTTGAGTATTACTCCTGCAACCTGAATTGTATCCTTTTTTTTTTCCAACTTATTAAAGTTTGTCACTAGTACCGAGCCTATTTAAATAAGTCGGATAACCCATTTTATTATATATTGCAAGAGTTTAGCTCGTCAAACGTGTAGGTATGAACAAAGAATAGTGTAGAAAATGAATTTCTCTATTAATGTTTTGCAAGGTGTGGGTAGCCTAACTCGTGTACCCGAAGATTATTTGTCACTTAGAAGTGCCTCTGTGAAAAAATACATTGATACTTTAGTTTTGGGAGATGAAATTAAAATCATACAAATTTTGTAAAAAGTCCCAATTAAACGGCTTCTTGCGATCAATGATTTTGTCTTTCACCATTGTCGTTTTTCCCCCAAAAGGCTTTACAGCAGAGACCGTTGACCAGTACATTTTATTATATGCAGCCGTTAAGGCAACAGTGAAAAGCCATGTTTTGCATAAGGTTACTAGGTTAGCATTCTAGATGTTCAAATTGTTCAGCATCGAGACAAAGAAGAAATGGTTAAATTTTCAGTGGTCTATATTAAATTATTTACTACAGTAAATTTTAATTTGGTTGTTTTAAAATTTTATTATATGTGTATGTATTTAATAATTTTAAAATTGTAGTTAACGGCTTATATCAATTAGCTTTCGGTCCACGTTATTGTTGTTATTGTTAACACTGAGTCTTTAGGAACTATAGGTAATATTATTGCATGTCTAGTTTGTATAACAAAATATTTGAAATATCGAAAGGACGTTTTTATCAATTTTTATTGCTTTTTTCATCCTTTTACATAGTTGTAGTTAACAATGTTTGTATTAATCATGTGCTGGTTAAAATGAAAATATTAACTCATATTAACAGTTTAAATTAATTATGTGAACATTAAGTAACATTTCATCTTAATTATTTACTAACTATTTATGTAAAATTGTATAATTAAAATTTACTCGTCTCATTTTCAAATTGAAAAAATCCGTATAACTAGATGCATACTCCCTCCTCCTCACACACATTCTATCCCACTCTAATCAGAAGCCTCATTGATTAATACTGACACATATCAATATAAAATAAGCAAATATTAACCAATGTTATAAAAATATTGATTAAAAATTAAAACTATATTTTCTTTCAATAAAAATACTATAATCCACACTATAATAAATTTTAATATAGTTTTTCAATATTTTTAATTAAATATATGCAAGAATTGAAAAAACTCATTTATTATAATAAAACATAAAAAGAAATATATGAATTCAAATATAAAGTTGACGCTTATATCTCTTTTACTATGATGATAGAAAAGAAATATTCAAGTTGAGTTAAAAAAAAAAAAAGAATTGTAAAAAATTTGGGATGTGAAAGAAACCTTAGTACAAAATGCTGGGTCATCCTAATAAAAAATCCCCCTAATTAATTTTCAAATGAACGGTTGAAAGCAAGGGACAAGCAGTAGCTGGCTGGATCCAAAAAAGGGAGGTAAAACTGTAAAACATAATTCAGGCTTGTAATTTTCTTTTAAAATATATTTATAAAAAAATTATCCCACAATTAATTGCATATTCTCTTTAAGGTGTGTTTGAGAATGAGATCCTAAAAGGGTAGAGAAGGAAAAACATATTTTTTAATTTTAATTAAAATAATTATATATTATTTATGATAAAAAAATACATGATTAATATATTAAATTTATCTCAATATATTAATTTATATTTTTATTTTAAATTAATATTAATTTTAAACATATTTATTAAATAAATATAAATTTTGTGCTCCCACTAAAATTCTCATTCTCCATTCTCAAATAACACCTTAATAAAATTTAAATTATGGCCTGAATATAAATTTTGTATGAAGTATCTTTTTTTAAAACAGAAAAAATAAATAATATAAAGAGATTACAAGGATGAGTCAACATGAATACAAATAAATAAAAAAAATTAATTACAATAAGTTGGACAAATCATATAATACTAAACCAATCTTAAATAGAGCCAGAGAAGCTTGACTTAGGTCTTATTTTAATAACTTCTAGAAAAGTTTTTATAAAAAATTAAAATAAATAATAAATAATGATTTTTTTATAAATTAAAAATAAATTATATTTTCTTAATTTTTTTATTAACAGAATTATATTTGTTTCTTTTTTAATTTGAAGAGATAAGTTATTTTTAATTTATTAAAAAAAATTATTTATTTTTATTTTTTTCTTTGATATCAACTTTTTAGTTCACCAAAACTGAACTCTAATGTATAGTTAAGATCTAATTTTAATAAGCTTTTAATTTTTTTATTTAAATTATGATAATGATTTTTAATAACAATTTAAAGTAAATATTTATATTAGGTTATGTTTGGAAGCTATGTTTAGAAGAGGAGAGGAAAAAAAGAGTTAGAAGGGATAAATTATTGTTTAGGAGTTACTTAATTAAGAGAAAAAGGTTTTGGAGGTTTTTCTAAACTCTTTAAAATCTTTCTAATTCTTATTTTTTGAGTTCTCCTATCTTAAAAATTTTCTCCCTCTCTAATACTCTTTTGTACATAAGATTTTAACTTTTTTAAAAAATATTACTTTTAGTACATAAGATTTTAAATTTTTTAAAAAATATTAATTTTAGTACATAAGATTTTAATTTTTTTTAAAAAAATATTAATTTTTTAAGTGATGCTTTTTTTAAAAAATTTATAAAAAATAAAAATAGTAGTTTTTAAAATATTAATTTTAAATTTATTAATTTTTAGAAAAATAAAAATATTTATTTTTTTATTTTTATAAGAATAAAATATAAATAAAAAAATTAAAATATAATATCATTTATATAATTAAATTTCAATCACTTTTCTCTTTCAATATTAAAAATTCAAATAAGAGAATAATTTAACCTCATTTTCTTCCTTTCCTCTTTAAATTCTTCCTCTCTCTCCTCCAGCAAACTCACAAAGAAAGCCTTATTAAAATAGGTTAATGATAAGAAATTTAAATGACTTTTATAAAGTTATAAATTAGAATATTATTGCAATCGTTATAAAAAAAATCATCATAAATTTATTTTGACATTAAGTCTTCTCTTATATTGAAATAAAATCCCCTCTTATAACTTTTAACATAACGTTGAAAAATCATAAAAATTGACATTATATAAATAATGATAAGTGTTGATATAATTATCTTCGAATTCTTTTGTATAATAATATGATATCGATAAATAATAAGAAATTTAAATTTTCTTACACACACACGTGTGTTAATTCGTACATTCAAATAAAAAAAGTTATTGAATCCTCACTGTTCTAGTAAAATCAGTCACCCATCATTGTCTTTAAAGTCGCTATTAGTTGAGTTGAATTTATGTGATCATGATGAAGAGAAAATAATAATTAGATTCTGTATGTAGTGAGAGGAAAAGGGAAAAGAATTTAACATTTTATATTTAATAAATAAATAATTGGTTCAAAATTATTTAAAATAAAATCAGTTATTCAAAAATGCTAAAAAATTTAAATTAAATATTAAATTAGATTTAAAATTTCTTCCATATCTGTATCAATCATTTTTTCTTTACGAATTTTATGCAATTTTTTCTTTTGAAGGAGAACTTTATGTTAACTCCAAAATAATCAAAATAAGTAATAAAGAATTGATGATTATTTACATTTGAAAGATAAAGAAAACACTATGCCCCACCAGAGTTTTAACTTGGAAAGGGGAAAGGAAATATAATAGTTTATATTAATAGGATCCCTCATATGGCAGGTTAGAAGGATTCTGATCTTATAAGGGAAGGATTTCGGAATCTTAGCATATCAGGCGAATGGAAAGTAGTCTCAAACCCTAACAACCAAATATACCATAATTTTCTTGCTTTGGTATCTTTGCCACCCAAAAAGAGAGCATACACAATGATGAAAATGCTCTACACCCCAAATAATGAATAGTTGGTCTTTTAATTTTAATTTACTTATTATTCTCTTCCCATCTAATCCCCAGAAAATCATCAGATCTCGCATGATCTACTGCTTCAGTGATCTTCTTTGTACAAGTCAAATGAAAAAGTGGAAGGAGTAAGAGTAGCTAGCTCCTACTTTTCCGGGGGAAGATTACAACATTGTCATGGATGAAAACAAGAAATGGATGCATAAGGAAACAGAAAGACAAAGAAGGCAAGAGATGAGAAAATTCTGCACCACCCTTAGATCACTTCTTCCTTTAGAATATATTAAGGTAATTAAGCACAGAAACATAATTAATGTTTCTCTTGATTTTGAAACCATTTATTTATTTTAATATTTTAATTTAAGAATAATTGAAATTTGAAACCCACTAGTCATTAGGGGTGCTTTTACTGCATATCTTGATGACTATCATTAGGGAAAGCGTTCAACCTCTGATCATGTGTTTGAGGCTATGAATTACATCAACCACTTACAAAATAAGGTGAAGCAATTGCAAGCAAAGAGGGATGAGTTGAAGGTGTCTAATTTGACTACTATTTGTCCTGAGAATAAAAACTCAATTGCCCATCTTCCACCTTTTGCTATTGTTCATCCTTTCCCGGGTGGCCTTGAGATTATATGCAGTTACAGCTTCACAAAGTATGTGTTTCCTTTGTCAAAATTGCTGAAGATGCTGCTTAAAGAAGGGCTTAATGTGGTTAGCAGTACTTCCATCAAAAGGAATGGCAGATTCATCCACACTATACAATCAGAGGTACTTTTACTGAGGTCCAACAAGTAGTTATACAAGGATAAAAAAAGAAAACAAAATATTTTTTTATAAACTAAAATTAATTTAAGCTGTATCTATATTATCATTCTTAAATGCATATTCATTTCTCTCTTTCTCCCTAATCTTTTAAGAAGTTTTTCTTAGTTAACTTCTCTAAAATTTATATGTATAAATAAATAATAATAATTTCTTTTATTTTACTTTCTGATCTCTTCTTCTATAAATATTAATTAAAAAAAATTATCAAACGAACATGTGTTAATTGAATTATCACTGAGCATGCAGTGCTAAATTACAATGGCCATTAATTGGTTTCAAAACTGATTATTAATATTGTTTTGTACAAACTGACTTGAAGGATTCGATTCATGGGAATACGATTGGCATTGATTACTCTGAACTGCAAATAAAGCTTACCGAAGCAATATCATCTTCAAGTAATACTCTGCCGTAGATTTTGTGTACTCTTGACAAAAGATTTTTTCATTTTTTTTTTCTCAGCATTCATATCACAGCACTAGTCATAAATACTTAACCATTTGCAGGTTTGCAAGAGGAACCTGAAAAATGCTAATATATTGAGAAAAATGCATCAGGTTGAGAAGTTTCGGATCCATGTACCATTAAATTGAGTAATTTTGTATTGCATTGTACTTGGTTATACATTTGCATGATTATTGGTGCAGTACAAAATTATTGAAGTTAATTGACACTTATTCAAGTTCAGAGTCATCATGCAGTATTACATGAAGTCGTTTATATCCTTCTCATGTATTTAATAAGAAATAAGTCATGCATATCGTTCAGAGTGCTGTTGATTAATGTTTTGATTTTGAGCTTTGTTATATCTTTCTAATGTTTTTTTATTACTTTGGAAGGAAGATATTAAATAAAAATAAATGAATAATTCATTGTCTTAAAAATAATATTTTCTTTATTTACTAATTAGAAATTTTGAAATCATATTTCTTCATCAATTTAACATCTTACAAAGAATTCTAACCGCAACATCATATAATTTCAACTTCGTGAGTACTGCCACTACTTTACTTAATTCATCGATATCAGATTCATGACAACAATAAAGTATATTGGAATATTGCTCATTATGTTCATTGATTATTGTTTCATGATCCACTTCGACTAATATAATAACTGCACCTTTGATAGTGAATTGGGAAAATACATATAGGGGTCCATTTTGTGTTTGGGTTCAACTTGGTACATTTTCAGGGCATAGTCTTTTAAGTTAAACTTTTTTTAAGAGTTTTAAAAACACATTTTTAATACATTTTTTAACACTTTTAATTATTAAAAAAATTGATTGGAAACTATATGATTATGCTTGGATAAGAAATTTTAAAATTACTACAATTTATGTATTTAGTTAGTAAAAAAATAGTTTTAAAATATCACACAACTTTAGCTAGAGAATTTTTATATATGTTAATTAGAAAAAAAAAATTAAATAACTTATTTTAAGAGAGAATTTAAAAATCTCTTTATTATACTTAACTTTAATATTTACAATTCATAACTTCTCTTGTACTTAACTTACACTTTAAACATCTCTCATTATTTCTTTTAAAATTTTAAAATTGTTTATTCAAACACAACCAAAAAGTGTGAAAATGAAATATTAAATAATTATAAATAAAAATCATTAAATTAAGTGTGCTACCTACATAATTTTTGTACTTTTAATAAATTTTATTTAATAACTAAAAATATATTAAAAATATTAAATAAGTGATCGTAGCATTTCTCAACTTTTTTTTCATCCCAAAAAGAGAAGAGGAGAGCAATCCGATTCTATGAAATTCGATTTTCAGAAGATTTATTAATATCTCTCACACTAAGATATATATATATATATATATATATATATATATATATATATATATATATATATGATAGTATCAAATGTTATTTCATGGTGTCTATTGTTATTTAATTTAATTTTATAAAATTTCTCAAAAACAATAGTTTAATTAACAAAAGAAAAATGGATCTCTTAGACAAAATTATTTGAATATGAGCAATATTTAATAGAACATTTTTTTTAAATGTATTTAAGAAAATATATTTAAAATATATATGTATATTTATTAAATTTTTATTAAAAATCAAATTTAATATATTAATAATATTGAACACTATAATTTTTAATAAAAAAGAATATACTATTATTTATTAAATTTTTGTTTTGTATCATTGGATACATGTTAAAAACACAATTAATAAAAAGTTTCATAATTAGCTATGTATAATCATGAAAGTAGCTTTTAATATTGAGAAGTCTTGTTGATAAATTATGCTAATGTAAACTAGGGATGAGCTGCACATGATCGATAAAATCAAATCGTAGAAAAAGTAATAAAAACAAGTTAAATTTACAGTGATTTTAGGCAGGTAAATTTTATTAAGTTATTTGGTGAAAATCGGTTAATTATGGGTGCAAAAATATAAAATTGTCGATACACAAATTCAACGGAAAAAAAAAACAGTTTGTTAACTTATATCATTATCTACATTCAATTAATTCATAGATTCTATTCTACTTTAATTTTAATGTTTCTTCCATCAAAATTCATTTTTTCAAATTGAACCCACGTTTTTTAGAATCTCAATCTTCATAATTTCACCTTTATCTTTTATAGTTTTTTAGAAAACCATATTCATGGGCTTATCACTTTGCCATTGGTGAATATGGCTTCAACGGTGGGATTAGAGAAAATAAAGAGAATTAGTTTAGACATTTTTGTTATTTGTATCAATCTACCTGCCTAACTCAAATACTATGCGAGAATAGAGATCTGAAAGCGTTGAGAACTATTTTAAAATATTGTGTCATCTGATGTGTTATATTTAAGAGAGCGGTTAAACAACAGTTTTTAAAAGTTAAGATTGGACAGTAGTTCTACGCGGAACCGCTATCCAAAATATAGGTGTAAGATTAGAGAGCGGTTTCACGTGGAACCGCTCTCTAAAGTATAAATATAGACCGTGAATCTGAAATTTAAAATTGGTTTCTTTTTAAGTTTTCTGATATAAAGTAAAATAATATTATTACGTTTAAATCAAAATTTGGAATTGATTTCTTTGTGAGTTTTCTTTATTTTTATCACAAATCAAAATTGAATCTTGAGTTTATAGGTTTGGTATTAACCAAACAGTCCATATCTGCATGAACCAAACAAAAAAAAATAAAATTAGTAGGATGATTTTTAATGTTAATAGAGAGAAAAAAAGAAAGAGAGAGAGAATAGATGATTCACCTTAACAAAGAGAAGAAAAAAGAAAGAGAGAATGTAGAAGTACCTATAGATGTGAACAAAAAATTAATTTGTTAGTACAAAAGATATGAAGAGGGCAAGCTAATAAAGAATGAAAAGGTACCTACAGATATGAAAAAAAACTAATTGTTAGCTCAAAGAAGATGAAGAAAGCAGGCTAACAGATAATGAAGAGGTACCTATAGATGAAAAAAAAAACAAATTTATTAGTGAGAGAAGACGAAGAGAGCAAATTAACAGAAAAGATGAAGAGAACATAAAAGAGTAGAGAAGACGAACAGAACTTAACCACTCTCCAATGTGTGACTTTAGAGAACCGCTCTCAAAAGTATAGATATGAAACGGTTAATAGAGAACCACTCTCTAAATATATACTTATAAAATAATTTTTACTAACCGTTATCTAAGTTAGCGCTCCAAAAATTTATTTTTGGCGTAGTGAAAATTTGTATAATCTAAAATCTGATCAACCTGATAATTTATTTGAACGAAATTGATATACAATTTTATATGATTAGATTGTAATGGTTGTTTATTTTTAGCCCGAACTCGTCTTAAATCACCCGATAAGTTAGAGGAGATTTAAAAACTTAAATAGAATAGTAAATAAAAACAGAATATTGGATGTACAACTTGAATAAGTACTAATATTTCAAGACAGATAAGAAAAAAATGAACGGAGAAGGAACTTGTCTATGTCCTGATATTTTTGTGCCTTTAGATATTTAGATATTGTTTAAATAGATAGAAATAATTAAAAAAAAAAAAATCTTCCACGCATTTAGATAAGTCGAAAAAAATAAGCTAAGAACTTATTTATAAAAATTTAAATTATCCCCAAAAAAATATTCATTAATAAAAATATTTTTAGATTTTTATTTTTTATTTTATATATATATATATAACCAAAAAGGAAATCGGACACTTTCCTGCTCTCCTTTTCTTCCATTTTGGAAGTCTTTTTATAAGCCACACCTTATTTTTATTTCCTCCATTCAAATACATTTCACTTTTTACATTTTTTAGTTTTTTAATTCTCTCCCTCCTAAATACAGCCCTCCAAGCACTGTAAAGAACCATCGTGCATAAAACCACTGGAAAACATTGTAATCTCAATCATGTAGGCAGCTAGCTAATAATTAAAATTTTAAGTGTTACAGCAAACAAAGTATCATTTACTAACAATTATATGTTGGATTAGTTTTTATTAGTATAAATTTTTTGAACAAAAAATTAAATTGATAGGGTGGACATTTTAAATTTGCATCAACAATATGATATATTATCTACAAATAATTTTATTAGGATAAGATATCAATATATATTATCATTACTTAAATATCGGTACAATGTATTATTTATTATTGTAGATCTATAAATTATCTACTAATAATTTGATTTTTGTTAGATAAAGTTATACTAACAAAGGTTATTTTTAACACTTTGTACTAATATATAGTCGTTAATAAGTTCAAGTTTATTTAAATATTTTAAAAATATAAAACTTTATTTATCAAATTTTATTTAAAAAATTAGCAAAATAATAAAGACTTTTTGCATAGATTATTCAACTTAAGTACAAAATATTAAAAGATTGTCTTAAGGGGGGAGATTGCCTTACTATATAAAATATGTTCAATTGCTTTAGGTTGTATTAGAAAATAATAATAAGAACGTTGCGGAGTGAAAGTATTACTTCTTTAAAAGTAAAATTTTGGTAAACATTAGTGCAATTGGATTCTGAATATGTTTTTCAAGGTTAACACAACAATACACAAAGGTGGTACATTCAAGACCTATGTGTTGGACTCAAACAAATAATATCCAGATAAAAAGAAAAGAAGAAGGAAGGGTCAGAGGAAGAGAATAGTTTGATAAAGTTTGTTCTTGAGCAAAAGAATAACCAAATTTGTTTTCTATAAGTGGCTATCAACCTTCGACACTCACCAAGTGATATGAACTCAGCAATG